TTACCTTCCAAGACACACACATCACAAGAGAGAGAGAAATCAGGTCTTGGGCGGGCCGGGGCGCGGGTAGGGTCATGGTGCGCGGGCACGTGTTCAAAAGGGTGGCCCAGTTCTCTCGATTTGATTATCCAACACTTAGAAAAATAATTAGCTCGATCGTACGGTTTCGGAAAAATAAACGAATAAAAATATGTTTATAATCCAAGCAATATATATTTAATATTAATAGACATTTAATCAGATAAAAGCAATTACACATTTAATAATAACAATAATAAGAATGATAATGAAATAAATAAATATATAATCCCAAAAATTAGACGAACGAGGCATTACAGATGGCTACACCAAAGGAGTGGGGTGAGCTTGGTTTTTCACGATTCGCAGTTGTTTAATGATTCACTGATCCTCAAGAAAATCTGGAGACTTGCAACAAAGCCAAATCTTTGTCAACAAGATCTTAAAAGAAAAATACTATGCTGGAGGATGCATTTTTTAAGCTAAAAGAACTCAGAGCTCGTCTTGGATGTGGAATAGTTGGGTGAAGTTAATACAAAAATATTCTCAGTTTTTCATGAGGGAAGTTAGAGATGGTCTAAACACCAAAATTGGAAGAGACCCTTGGGTGCCAGAGCTGAGGTCAAGTATACCAGAGCCTTAAGTGCATTAATGGGAAACAACTTACCGGGATCAAATAACTAATTGCATTGGGAGGAAGATCCTGGAATGAAGATACGGTCAGAGGGAGCTTTAAAAAGTCTGACAGTGAAGCCATTATAAGGACTAATACTTTGAACCAAACTTGAAAGATAGGTGGACTTAGACTGGGGGTAGCAAGGGGAGCTTTTAAGTGGTTTGTGCTTACGCTAATCTTATTAAGGAAAAAATCGACATGTGGGATACTCTTGAGGGTAGTAGTTCAGAGAAGAGGGCTACAAAAGCAAGAAACTTATAGACAAAGGGAAGCTGAAACACTTCATCTGGAAGTGTTTCTCTGAGACTTTACCTGTCAACCAAAAGCTAAAACACAACGGAGTGGCTGTTGATAGCATATGCAAGTGTTGCGGAGAAGAGAGAAGTCCTTTATTCACACACTGTTCACTTGCACAAGGGCTCAAAAGGTATGGAAATTATCACCTGTGACTTGGGTTCATAATCTGAATGTGTGTGGCTTTAAAGAATGGTGGTGGAAGATTTCAAAACTTGATCACTCCAACTTTGCTGAAGAAAGAATCCAGCTATCCACATATATGTTGTGGTGGCTTTGGTAATCCCGGAATGCGGGTCTAAAACAGGTTACTAAGGGATAAAGACATTGTGCAGTCTGCTTAGAAAGAGTGGGTTGGATTTGCTGCTGGGTAGTGCTTGCAGTGGCGAAACCAGCCGATCATCCCGGGGAGGGCCCAATTTTCCGCGGCGCACCACCCCACTCCGGCCATCCCCCGGCGCACCACCCCACTCCGGCATCGGAAGGGCGCCCAAAGGGCTTTTGTGGAAGCTCTCAAAAATTTCGCAGGATATAAAGAAATACTCTAGAGATTTTTCTAAAAATCAAACTAAGTCCGGAATTAAACTGTATGCTTAAACTGAATTGTTTTAACTCAAAAAATTTTCGAATTTATACTAATAAAATCTCGGACTCAATTATAATAATAATCAAGAATTATACCTCCTTTTGAATAGACGAAAAGCTGAAAAAATTGAGAAAACAAAGCCTCGAACGATCGAACTCGTCCTCGACAAATTTGCTCCTTTTGATACTATTTAACGCAGAAATTCAAACTCCCGTAATAAATGCTTGGAACTCCAAAAAATACAAAATTTGTCCGTATGGAATCGTGCTTGAATTGTCTACACGCTCCAACTCGATTCTTGTTAAACCGAGGTCACACGTAACCTTACGGAACCCCGCAAAACGGCTTTTTATTCTTCTATTATGCGCACTCAACTTCGAGCTTCTCAAAATAAATGCTCGAAACTTCTAAACGTGAAATAAATTATATGAACGGCTTCTACTGTTCTCGTGCTTTCAAGAAAGCACTCCCGCTAATTTTCAGCACGCCTAACGAGGG